CCTGATCCTGATCTGTACGAGTTCCAGCTGGGTGAGGATGATGAAGACCTGGAGCCGCTGTGACTCGGGGGGTCATGGGGAGGGGCCATGCGGACACGGGAACCGCCCACCCCACCAGCCCCGTCACATGTGGGAACATGGCCCCGCCCTGTCATGGGTGGGGGATGTGATGTCACACTCTTTGTGCTTTTGAATAAAGATTTTTTCAGAGATTTTCACCTGGGCTCCCGGATCCGAGTTTTACACGTGTGATGCGGGGCGGCGCCCAGTCAGACTCTGTGTAAACGATATCCTCGGGAAGAGCCAGTCCCGAATAACAATACCCTCGGACTACATTTCCCACAATCCGCCCCGTATCCCAGTCACTCTGGCTACGTTTCCCAGGATCCTCCCCTTCTCCCGCTCACTCTGACTACATTTCCCAGAATCCTCCCCTCCTCCTACTCACTGTTTCCTAGAATCTACCCCATTTCCCACTCATTCAGACTATGATTTCCAGAATCTTCACCATCTCACACTGACTCTGTTTCCCAGAATCCTCCGATCTCCTGCTCATTCTGACTACATTTCCCAGAATCCTACGCTTCTCCCATTCATTCTCTTTCCTAGAATCCACCCTGTTTCCCCACTCATTCAGACTGTTTTCCAGAATCCTCCTCATCTCCCAGTCAGTCTGACTACATTTCCCAGAATCCTCCCCATCTCCCACTCATTCAGACCATGTTTACCAGAATCCTCCCCATCTCCCACTGACTCTATGTTTCCCAGAATCCTCTTCTCCCACTTAATCTGTTTACCTTTCCCAGAATCCTCCCTTTCTCCCACTGACTCTGGCAACATTTCCCAGAATCCTCCCCGTCCCCTGGCCCCACCTCTCTCCCTGACTGTAGGCCAGGGGGGGGTGTCCCCTGAGGCCACACCTCCTTATCCTTTCCAAATAGTTCCACCCACCCCCCACCCCCGACGCAAGACACATCCAGTAAAGAAGTAAAAATTTAGAAAAAAATAATTTTTAAAAGAATTCTAAAAATGTATGTAATTAAGTCAATAAATAAAAACAATAAATATTGTTTTTTGTTTTTTGTGGGGATTGTGAAACCTAATGACAATGTCTAAGGCTCTTTGGTTGTGCATGGGAACTTTAGGTGGCCTTACATGTTCTCAACTGAATTCTCAGCACAGGATAAATTGTCAGATTTTTGGCTATATTTGTGAGCATGGGCCAGCACCAGCTCCTGTAGCCATCCTAGGCGTGGTTTAGGCACCATCACTTAGACATGCTACCCAGGCTCTGCCCAGGTGCATGCTGGGACCTGTAGTTCAGAACCACCCTTCCAGGGTGAGCTTCGTGGAGTTGCAGCCTCACCAAGCCACCCCCCCCACCCCCCCCCGCAAAGCATGCTTGGGTCTCGAAGTGCCTTCTGAGCCTGTGCAGCCACTGCTGGTACTTGCAAGCTATGACGTGCCAAGCACCCAGTTAGGGTGGGGGCTTTTAACATTTCCCAGGGTGGAGCCTGGAATGGTGGGCTTTTTAAGGGCAGAATCTGAACTGAGATGGATCCAAAGGAGGGCCCACCATTGGCAGCCTGAGGATGGGGTTTGGAATGATGCAACCAAACAAAATCTGGACTCACACCAGCCTCCCTCCACCTGCAACTCCTTGTTATGGGGGAAGCTTCACCCAACCTGCCTTCTCCGCCTCCTCAAGGAACAGATGCCTGAGGTCTACAGGATGGCAGCTAAGGGAATACTTCACCCATACCTCAGGCTGAATGTGAACCCACCAAGTCCTGACTCCCACCACACCCCACATCTTCCCTTGTCATCAGGAAGAGGCCAGACTTCTCTACCCAGGGAGTCTGAGTTGTTTACATGGAAGTCCTACAGGCTTCTATATTTTGCATAGGCAAAGAGGTTGGAATGTTTAGTAGCCCTGTTCCAAACCCCGCCCTCAAGGTGCCAAAGGTGGGCCCTCCCCTGGAGTCCCCTCAGTCCAGACTCCACCCTTAAAAAGCCTGCCATTGGCGGCTCCACCCCTGGAGGGCATTAAAATCCCCCATCTCTGCAGTCACCTCTTGGTTTCTGGTTATCTGTTCTCCTGGGGCCACCCAGGAATACTTTGCTCATATTAAACTGAAGGAACCAGCTTCCCTTTCGGCAGCCATAACAGCCGAACACATGCT